CAATTCAATTATTCCCCAAGTCGGACGAGCATTGAATTATTCGTCCGGGCGCGAAACGCACCTCACCGGACGGTTTCTCGCGCGTTTCTTCACTAGACGTCTTTGTAACGCGACGGAGGCGTGAATGGCGCGATGGGCCAGGAGGCCCAATTACGAGTTTATTCAGTCCTCGCCACGGGGCATCGCTCGTAGGCATCTACCTGGCGCCTGTCCCTTTATCTCTAACGTAAGAGCGAGAAAGAAGAGCTGCACGTATACACGTCCCGGGCCAAGGGAGACGTTGAAACGTGGAACGTGTACAGGGTGGATATGGAGAGAGAGAGAGAGAACGTGGTGAGGACGTCTCTGCGGGATTCCCGCCACTTATGGGAATGTGATACGAGCTTTTCGTCGGATGCTCTCTTGCGTTTTCGCATTGTTACGCAACCGTCCTTCTCGCGTCACCCTCGTGCACCCCGACAAAGGGAATCAATGTCAATGCGCCGCGCCACGCCGCATACAACGTCAACGGGGAGAATCCGAAGAGGGAACGCCGAAATAATGATCGCGAGCGTGTAATAAGCGCGCGAATGCGTGTGAATGCGCAAACCGAATCGGATGTGTAGTATATGTTACATTGTAATCATTAAGAATCGATTTTTTATGTTTCGACCAATTTTTTTTTTTTATTTCGATGATAAGATTCTTATTTTATTATGTCGCGATACGGAAAAGATATTTGTTAACTTGACTAAACCTTTGAACTAAATATTATTTTACGAAAGTACTGACCGTTTTTTTGACAACTAACGGAATTTAGTACACTTGAGAAGGACCAAAACTCACGCATGATCGAAACATCGTGTTATAAGGATTAATTACATAAAGCATTGCAGGTGTGGTCGAATCTTAAAAAAAAACCTTTCTTAAATATTATTTTGCTAATTGAACCTATAAAAATATAACACATTAAATTTAACAAAACGTATATTTGACTTAAATATTATTATATGTTGATTTAACAATAGAGTAGAAAGGCAGAATTTAGTAGAAAGGTTCAGTCAAGTTAACACGTTTGTCTTCAGTGCACCCGCAGAGAATGTTCTCAGAATTTATCCTGAAACTCAATATACTCATATTCAAAGAATTTTGTAGGAATTTCTCTGGTTATAACATATGTTTACCACAATAAAAAATATTAATATGTACAGATATAGTAGAATTAATTGACCATATTTTATATATTCTGATTGTGGTAGATATTAATCAGAGAAATTCTTATAAAATTCTTTCAATATTATGTTGTTTCACGATTATCATGATTTTCAGGGTAAATTGTAAGAGAAAATTCTCTTTGTGCAGATGTTCGAAATTGCTATATTACATTTCTCCCTAATGTCAAAACATTATTTTATTCTCGTATAATTTTTTAATTAAGACTATTTAATTAATCTGTCGTAATTAATATTGCATCCTCGTCATAAGATATAGATATTTAATAAGTAAGATATATATATATATACTTAAATATAATTTCTTATAAAAACTTAATCACGTCACATGCATATTATTTTAAGCTTTATCTCTCCTAAAAGATCACTTTTGCCCTGTTAACATCATGCAATCAAATTTGTGTTAAAGAAATCGATCATTCTTACATATATTAACATAAATACTTTTTAATATCGATTTATCTCAGTTTCCCTTCTCATTCATTTTTCATAAAGATGTTCACAAGATCGTTCTCGTTCAATCAGACACGAAAAGTAAACTGACGATAAGTGCAAATGATTACAGATCGGCACGAACTTGTCCCATCAGCAAGATCGAGCGGTCGATCCGGTGGCCCTTTAGGACGAGAGTCCCGAGAGAGAGAGTCCTTTATACATCACATTATGGCATCAACGACCTCATCGTGGACCACAAACCGTGTCTCGGGGATGAATGGCGACGCGCCACGGGAGCCAGAGGGTACGTACAATCTAAATAAAATGTATCAATTCCGTCACTTGTGATGCCGAGCTTCCTTTTTCCTTCGAGAATCGATTGTTCGGAGGAAGGAAGTCTCGCGCAACGGACATCCTTTCATTATTATATCACGAACCAACGTGTTATATATATATATATATATATATATATATATATGTATGTATTTTTATGCATCTAAACTTCGTATATAAATATAAAACAGAACAACAATATTGTGAAATATATTATAGATAAGAAATATATTATATATATATATGTATGTATGTATTTTTTTATGCATCTAAACTCCGTATATAAATATAAAACAGAACAACAATATTGTGAAATATATTATAGAAATTGCACAACGAGGGAGAATGTTGTTAAACTAATCGTCTAAGGTGCAAAAGTAATGTATACGTAATTTTCTAGACAATTATAATGATATCGTTTTAAAATCTCGAGTATAGATTTATTAATAGTATTAATAAGGAAGAATATGAAATTATATAGAGACGGTCTATATATGAAGTTTCATACTGCATCCGTCGGCGTTGCACTGCCGTCGGTGCATCGAAATTAATGCAATGTTCTACATTACTATATGGTTTATCCAAGCTAGATCTTCCTTAGTTATTTATTTTTTACTGTTGATTGGATCCTTTAATGCAATAACGAATTAATGCCGATCTTTGTATGCAAAATTATAAGAGACGTTAAAATTGGCAGAAATGGAAATAATTTATTCTTCTCCCACTTCTTTCCTTAAGTTTTCGAATTTGATAACAAGGTAGGAAAAAAGTAAAAGGGTTTTCTGATACAACGGACACGTAGAACAGTTGTACACCATCAAAGACCCACGTCAAAAGTTCAAGACATTCCTACGAGAAATGTCCTGTAAAACAAATATTTTTCTATCTCTGAAAAATTATAGAACATATGCCTCATTTTAAGACTGTTTTTCTATAGAAAGTGACATTTGAAAGACCTTGCCGCTTAAATCTGAATAAATAAGACGTTCTGTTATTTCCTCCGTTTGCAAGAAAGTCATGAAGTTCAAAGTTGCGACTTGCGATTTACATATATAAGTATAATTTTAATAAAAAGGTGCAAGTTTTTTTTTTTAAACCTTGAAAGAGATTTTTGTTCTCTACAATCGCAGAAAATCTTATTTAAATGTTTTATTAATTTCTGCGATATATACATATATATATGTATATGTATATATTTTTATTTTCATAATTTTTTTTTTGCAATTAATCTTTCTCTTAAAATTTACCCTGAAAATCATGGTAATCGTGAGATAATATAGTATTAGAAAAATTTTATAAGTTTCTCTGATTAATATTTTTATCGCAATAGAAAAAATTAATATATCTACCACAATAAGATATAAAATATGTTGGATTAATTTTAATATGTACATATTAATATTTTTTATAATTATGAGAAATATTTAATCAGCGAAACCCTCATAAACCGTTCTTCCAATACCATATTGTCTCCCAATTTTCAAAGATAAATTCCGAAAGAAAATTCAAGGAATAATAAAAGTTAGATCATTTCTGCTTTTACTTTCCAGCGACTCATCGCACACGCGCTAGATAACATTTTTATTTTGACTTGGAGTTCGAGAAAAAATAACATGAAAAATTCAAATATATTTTATGAAAAAATTATGCATAACAAATTGTTTTTACAATTTATTTCAATTTTTCTAGAACAATTTTGAGAAAAAAGAAGATTATATGAAGAATACATCGACATGCGTTTTTACCCTATTTTTTCTCGCGTACAAGAAAGATATCGCAAAGAGTCGCGTGCGAAGTCTCGCTGTTGCTTTCTTACGCAGTTAAATCGGACGAGGTCGGCGATTTCGCTACGTGGCGAGGAGATCGCGGTTGTTATTCTAGCCCGAATATACGACGAGGAGCGTACGGTGCCTTAAGTAACGCAAAAAACGCAAGCGCTCGCGAGCGCTCTGAAACTTTATCCAACTTCTGTTGTAAGTAGCTTCTAAGCGACGGTACCTTTCTTCCGTGGGGGCGTTCATAAACCCCCGCGAGTGCTATAAATCGATTTTTCCCCCGGGGAAGATAAGCCGTTGCCTTCCTTCCCTTTCTCTTCCCATTCTCAACCCTCTCCGTTTTATCTCTCTTCCGCGAAACGCGAATAAGTCAGCGGCTGATAAACGAGATCTTTAACGCGCTTCTTCCCCATTTATTATTTTCTTACACGCTTTTCCTCGCAATTCCCTCGCATGATGAATAATAATGACAGCTCGTTCAATGCTTTCTTGGCAGCGTAATAACGTCGCTATCTCGCGAGCGATTATTTTATCGCGCCGGCGTTATTAATATCACAACCGGCACGTTTCGCAATTTTGCACATGATAAATCCGACGCACCAGACTCTCTTTTTTGCGATATTCTATGTGTGTTACAATTTTACAATCTTGTAATTTCCTTCTAAAAATCCATCAGATCATAAAACATATGATGTATACCGTTTCTCGCTCCCATCTACTTCGTTTATTATTTAATTCTGCCAAGCTTGTCAGCTGTAATAAACTGCAGATATCAAACTGCATAATAATAACAATGATACCGTTCTTTTATTCTATAATTCGATAACCGATGAAAAAAAAAGTCTTTCAAATACGTCGTAATTTGGAGATTTTTCCGCGGACATACATATACATATAACATTTGCCGCGAACACATCGACATAAAAATCGCGTCGTCCTGGCTTGCGCGTCATTAAGAGAGAACAGACATCCAGAGAAGTTCGGAATTTAACGAGCTCCTCGGAAGGATCCGCAGTCTGGATGCAATTCGCTCGCGTGTCTCCTCTCTCTCTCTCTCTCTCTCTTTCTCTCTCTCTCACTCACTCGCTCTATATCCGTCTCTCTCTACCCACGCACTACGGCATGCTCGCGCCGTATGCTAACGAGGCTCATTTGGCGGCGCGCGCGCGCCGCCAATGGCGGGACGGTATGGTGGCGGTATGGTGCCCAGCATCCAATAGAAGCGCCCGTCACGCGGATGTCAGAGTGGCCACGCCTTTCGGCGAGCCGCGCCGCAAAGCGCATGACGCGCTCGGTTCATCTCGCCGACACGCCGCATCGCCAGTCCCTTCTGGTGCGCGCGTGAGGTGAGTGTCTCTCTCTCGCGTGGCCGCGAGAGAGACAGAACTGCCCATTGATCCACCGCCTCGAGAGGAGCTGACACACACTCTCTCTCTCTCTCTCTCTCTCTTTTCGTCTCCCAGAGTGATCTAGAAATCGCGATCGGCTTTGCTGGACGAGATCATCACTCTTGGTGCGCGAGTCCGAGTCGGTCGAACTCGGCAAACTCGAGGAGTCGACGCGCGAAACCACCCCTTTTTTGCGACCAAGCGGGCTGTGTCTTTCTTTTGTGAGGTTTCTTCAGGAGGTACGTCTTTCTATTGTGAACCGCAGCGGGTGGAATTTTCTGACACACCCTAAGCGAAGGCGTGGTTTCGACAGACTTTCTCGTAGATCAGGGGAAGATTCGAGATTCTTGGTCGAGTTGAGAGTTCGTCGGTGCGATCTATCGAGATATGAGACCTCGAGACGAAGAATCATCCGTATTAAGGAAGGTGGGAGAGAAAGAATGCCGTTTGCACGCTGTAAAAATGTGGTTCTACACATAAGTCGCCGTGATAAATCGTCGAGTGAGCATTCGAGATAGTGGGGTGGCAAATATCCCGAAGGTGGATGACGAAGGTTTGATGACATTTTCGAGAGAAGAGGCGTCGATTGGGATTCGAGGAGTGCGAGGGAGACGTCGTTAAGGCGCCTCTAATAATAGCGACGCGCTCGCGAGTGTACCAAGCGATCTATAAATAGTGGTCTCTGGCCCCGTGGAAATACGAGCCCGTGGATTTCACGGTGCAACCTGTGTGTGCCGACAGCGAAAACGAAAGAAAGCGCGCAGAAAATCGTCGAGACGGAAGAAACAACGCGATAGACGAGCTTGGATCGTTTTGCGGACTGGAGGAATTCTCGAGGGAAACGTGTGACTAATTAACGAAATTGTGCGCGAAATTGGAAAAATATTTTTGGATGAATGATCCAGGAATGAGTCGATGATCGCTTGGGATTTAATTATTTGTGGAACTACTGCAAGTTGTAACGTGTCAAGCAATAAGAAGAGGAGTTTGCGTACGAGAAATGTTCGAAAGCAATCAACAAAGTAAGAGTAGTTTCGCTTCTTCCTGATTTTTAAGTGTAATCTGTGTTGGATCGAAGATCGGTGAAAGATATAGAGATTCTCGCCAAGATAAGACTTGTGAATCCAGCGCGAATCTGCCGACCGTCGGCTGGAAGGAGTTAATCGCTAGACTAATATCAGGAAGAAATCGTTCTCCTTAATGACGCTGAGAAGATTTTTTTCTATTTTTCCTCTTGACGTTCTCGTCTCAATTGACACGTGATTTAAAAATATTTTCACGCGATTCTCGTGATAGCAATCGGATCGATTGATCGAAGAACCATCAAAGTGCAACGTTACAAATCGATGCCTCGGAAGGACATTCGATTATCAAACGAAAGCTTCAGTGTTTCTTCCTTTTCGCTCCGAATTACACGGTACAGTGCACAGGATTAGCTTCGACAAACGACATAACAATTGTTTATTAAATAATTTTATCGGAGCACTATTGATATACATTCGAATCTTATGAAGCTACTTTCATTATTCCCCTACGTGGACTTGATTTCATCACGCGTGCTCTTCAGCCTCCACCGTTGACACATTGAGGATTATCCGACCTATCAATACTATATTTATATTTCAAAAGAATCGCGACTCGGATCGGAAAGATGTCCTCGTCCGGACGTCTCAGATGAATCCGCAGTGATTCCGCGAAGGGTGGTCATCCTCGGAGGATGAGCGGCGAGTGAGGGTGACGTCAGAGGAGACTGACAGGTCATCCCGAAGTGACAGAAGAACGCGAAAGAGGTCGGACGATCGCGCGTTGTCAGCAGCACGGTGGAGAGCGGCGGTGCCACGGTGCGGAGGGTCGTCGTGGTGGACCCCGGCGATGACGCAGCCATGATGGCCTACGGTGGCACCGCTGGTAACGGGGGCGCGATGGGCCCGTCGGCCGGTGGTGCCGGCGGCGGCACGGACGTTCTCGGGACAGCCGCCGGCGATTACAGCCCCCAGAGCACGCCAACCCCCTTGACCGGACACTCGACCACGAGCGGCACCGTGGAGAACGCCTATACCCCCGGCACGACCGGGGCGGCCAGCTACAGCCCCCAGGACAGCCCGGCGAGCTCCGCCGGTGGCAGCGGAAACGGCCAGCTGCCGAGTTTCGGCTTCACCCAGGAGCAAGTCGCGTGCGTCTGCGAGGTAAGTTGGGCCACCTGGGTCTGTGTATTCGCGTGAGAGCCCCCTCCGGTAAGGATCCCAGCAAACACCGATATATGATTGTTACATTGCTGTAATAAAACGGAATGTAACAGGTAATATAACGTGTACGTTACATGTAACATCCATGTTAGTTGTAATTTCCTACTCATAGATGTAACATTTTAATATAACATATATTACATTGTAGTTATATTGTAATTATATACCAAATAGAACATTGATGTATTGATAAGTCAGTGCTATCTTGGGATATAATGACAATATAACTACAATGTAATATATGTAATATTAAAAATGTTACATCTATGAGTGTGGGAAATTACAACTGACATATACGTTACATGTAACATGTTTAAGTATATAACATTTATATACTGTGTTTGCTGGGTATATATTAGAACTAACCCAACAAACACCGATATATAATTGTTACATTGCTATAATAAAACGGAATGTAACAGGTAATATAACGTGTATGTTACATGTAACATCCATGTTAGTTGTAATTTCCCACTCATAGATGTAACATTTTATATAACATATATTACATTGTAGTTATATTGTAATTATATACAAATAGAACATTGATGTATTGATAAGTCAGTGCTATCTTGGGATATAATGACAATATAACTACAATGTAATATATGTAATATTAAAAATGTTACATCTATGAGTGGGAAATTACAACTAACATATACGTATTTATATACTGTGTTTGCTGGGATCGTGCGGAACCGCGCTTTCAAGCGCAGAAAGAATCGCGCGAAAGAGCGAGCAATTTCATTTAAACTCGAAACTTGTCGCTTCGCCGACTTATTTGGAGGGGCTCTGGAGGCTTGACACGCGCCCGTTGCCATCAGCCGTTCGCTACTACATGTCACGTTTGGAAAATACATTTGCGGTCCATTGACAGAAGATTGAAATTCAATTCCAGGTGTAAACATTTCTCGTAATAGCGTTATGTGCTAACATATACAATCTCGTGAATGTTAATTTAAAACGTAACATGACAAGTTACATTAAATATTTGAAATGCGCTAAATATATTTTATTCACGCTGTAAAAAGGATGGCGCATAATTTATTGTATTTATGTGAACAGAAATAAAAGAGCTATGTCACTTGAAAATATATACATGTTCGCGACGCATAGTTAATGAGCGGTTGATGGCAAATTTGATTAGCAGTCGCTGCGCTTTTTTCGGCGAAATAACACCGCTCAATTTTGTAACTTTTTGATTATATTCACGAAACATAAATATCGCAGAAACTTCATTTCGCGTTGCAAGTTTTTTTTAAAATATTGCACATTCAATCGTGCATCTCTTTTTGAGTATCGTCATTTCGTTTTATTATCTTTCTAAATATCTATTATTATTGTGTATACAGAGAAAATTGTCTCTTAGAATTTACTCTGAAAATTATGGTAATCGTGGGACAATATTAGAAGAATTTTATGTTTCCCTAATTAATATTTTTCATAATAAAAAATATTAGTATGTACATGATAAAATTAATCGAATATATCTTATTGTAGTAGATATTAATATTTTTGCTGTGGTAAAATTCTTCCAATACTGTCCCACGATTACCACGATTTTCAGGGTAAATTCTAACAATAAGAGAAAATTCTCTCTGTGTATATATTTAATATTCGAAGAGGAATGTTATCGTGTAGATGTTTAATAAAATATTTATTAAATAAAATTATAGTATTATATAACATACATACATTTATGTACGGATGCCAGTGTCATCGCGCGTTAACTGTTAAAAAATGTGGAAACGACCAAGATTTTATGTCGCCGCGATGATGAAATTGTCGCCGCGACAATGCGGTCGTTATTTCGCCGACAATGTGCAGCGGTATGCGCCAAGATTTGCCTGCATGTCGCACGCTTAATGGAATCTGCACGATTTTACTGTAACCGTAAATTGTTTTGCGCGCGACGTTTACGTCCCTCATATCGAACGTCCCACGTGTTAATTCATCCTATTCGAAGGAGAGAAAGAAAGAGAGAGAGAATGATTTTCGCAAAAGTACCTTCCGCATACGTTTGGCAAAAATCTCATTAATTCTTCGCCGCACATTTATCAAGCTTTCTTAAAGTGCAGCCCCGAATTATTCATATGCTAAGATCGTCGCTATTAATAAAATTGGAAACTTGAGTAAAAATATTTTACGCGAATTTAACAAATTCTTATAAGCATCATTTGTGTTAGTTAATTAAAAAATACAATCGAGATATGTTTAACTCATTATTTTATTTTATCTTATTAATTGAATATATAGATACATAGAAATAATTATATAAAAATGTAACATGTTTTTGGCGAAAGAGATTTATCTTGTGATGTATTTTTTAATTTCCAAATGAAAAATGTTTTAAAATATACCTCGAACTTCGAAATATCCCTTCTGGATTTTCGAGTTATTTTATTTTGGACTATTTATATTTAAATTGGGGCTATTTAATTTTGGACTTTTTATGCCGCGAAAGTATTATTAGAAATTACTCTTTGAATTGAGCACGAGAAGGTGAAAGTGCTTGATTCATGAACGATTGCGACGATTTTCACACGTCAATCAACGAATGTGAGAATTAAGAAGATAATCGATTGCACGTGAAGAAAGATGGATTTGCCAAACGCGGAAGTAATCGATCGCGGACTGCACAAACGCGTTTTTGCACGTGCATATCCCTCTGTATGTGTGTGCGTGTGTATACTAGCGCTGTAATTATGCGGCTAGACTTTAACTCCTTGCCCACGTCGCACAGAAGGATTATAATATAATATGTTGGAAATTTTGCGAGAGTGAATTTTTACAGAATGCGAATATCTGCCTCGGTTAGCATGATAAGACGCGACCCGCGAAATTGGGTCGCTTTCGCCTATCGATCTGTACAAAAATATAGTGATTGTTGCCATACTTTCTGTGACACGTGGGCGCTAGTTGTCTTGTATCATTCGAGGTATTATCCATCGATAGATCCGTTTTCGAGGCATAAAGGAAATCGTTTCACCGGATGTCAATCGATTCCATTGATTATTCGATCTAGAATCCCAACGAGATCACGTATATTTGAGAGAAAGAGGAGAATTTGATAGATAGAACTGAATAATTTTCTTTTGATTCTGGTTAGATTATTCTAGATTCTAGAACATCGATTTTGTTAAATCCCAGTTTTAGTACAATAGTTAAATATATTCAATTTTATATTCTAATTTTTTTTCTTTAAATATAAACCTAATAACTGATCTTTTATTATAAGTGGCTACATCCATCGAATATCCATATCAATTATTAAATTACATATTATACATATTAAACACATAAGAATTACATCTAAGATTCAACGAGAAAAGATTAAAGATGATACTTTTCGGTATAGTCACTTGATAAATCTGATCACTTTTATTAGAAATTTTAAATGAAGAGAATGAAAAAAATTCTGATTTTTGAATATAATATCTTTGTTTCGTGCGTTTACTTTTCAATGCGTATCGCACGCTCGTATATCATATCAATGCATTTCTGCAGAGTTATTCAGTTCTAGAATAGAAGAGAGTGTAATGAAACTGCACGATTTCTGATCGCGGTAGCTGCATTATTAGTAAATTCAATCTCGAGATCTGTGTCATACATTTCTCTTTGCTCAGTAACGTGACACTCGTTTCTCATTATGCCACGCGGCTAAGATTAATCGGCCGTACCGCGAAAATTCGGCGACATCCGGCGACGACGGCGAGCAGACAAAGATGACAGGTGTTACAGAGCTCATATCGCCAATTAAGCGGTGATTAAAGATCCATCCGTGTACGATCGGCGATGTCTTCATTCCGCGTCGGTACTTTCACAGCAATTCATTTTACCAGCTAGAAAGGAACTTACATCAATTCTGACAGTCGGTTAATCGTAAAGTAATTTTGCGCGTTCTGCATTGTTTGCGAAACGAATTTATTAGGGAATAATGCAACGAAAGACATAATTTAAATTAAATTTCTTCAAAAAAAAAAATATATATAAATTTAATTACGTAATATTAATGCAATATAATAACGAATGAAATAAAATAAATACACGACTGCATAGAATTTTCTTGAAGTATAGTTTATATTGCAATCAGTAACGCGTATCGATTTTGTACGATAGTACCGCGCTTTTAGAAATCAGTTATGTGTAAATTAAAGATACATAAGACGATATCTAGACACGGCGCATAATATCTAATATAAACGTCACTGACACGACATATGCAGATATCGGCAAAGATAGATCAGCAAAAATAGATAACTCATTTCTCAAGCAGAATTCACGATAGCTTATTTATGTCATCGTAAAGGATAACACAATTTATGTTGATGAAACGAAGTATATGACGAAATAAAATCGATATAGATTACATTTATTACTGATTGTTTCGAGAAATTGTACGAATAATAAACGTCAAATCATATCAAGTGCAGCGTTACTTATATTAGTAATCAAGTTGTACTAAATTGCATTATTTTTTCATTAAAAATGCAACAGGTTTATAGATTTTTATTCTATTCAATTCATTGCTAAAATCTTTGTAATTTCGTAGCTTTGAATTATAATCTTATTTTAGTATATTTGCAGAAGAAATCTATAAACTAAATATAAAAATGTTCACTCGTAATTATTGATTCCAATATTATCTCGATATTACCGACTGTCTGAAAATTTTCACGTAGATATTTCAAGTAATTTATGAAAATACATAGTTTGTTTGAATCGCTCTGAGACACGAGAATCACTTTTGCGTGCTCGCAGAAATTTGATTAATTGAAATTTGTGATAATAGGAGATAGACATCCTGATTTTTATCCATTCCTTTTTTGAACTTAGTATTTGACATTTTAAGCCTGATTTAATATTGAATCTCATTTGATTAAAATCCTAAGTAGATATTTATATTTTATCTTTTTAAATTTATAATTAGTATTGAAAATACTTATCACACATATAAAAAACTTGTATAATTTTATTAAATTTAAATAAAAATTAAATTTGCCGTTTTTATAAAAAAAGAAATACATTTGACTTGAGAAAACAATACTATATATATTATTTCTTAAGAAAAATGCGGACAAAATTCAAAATAAATAATTTAATATAATTTCTTCTTTATTAATGTGATCTTTGATACTTAAGTGAATTGAAAAAAAAAATTACCACCAGATCTTTATAGCTTCTGTGATAAAAGTTGAAAAAGGATTCGAAATATAAACCGAAGTTTTATCTAAGACCGCAAAAATTCTATTGAAAAAAAAATTCACCGTTTTATAATAATTTCCGAAATTTTCCAAAAAGCAGTCTCGCGCGCACAGTCCGTCATTTGCTGTATTTTCGTTCTCATCCCGTCCTCAATTCCCTCAGTCACGCGAAAATATCCCGACTGATTAACCTGTTGGATAATTGCTGTCCGCGAAAGTCGTCTTTCTTGAAACGAAACGCTCAGCTCTCAGAGAGAGAGAGATAGAGATGAATGCGAGACATATACAAGATACACTAGAATAAGAGGAGACCCGGGATGAGTTTTGCCGACTAACAGTGTGCCCCCCCTGTCTATCGTCTTCAAGGCGATGGTGTCGCATGTCCAGGTTCTCCAGCAGGCGGGTTCCGTGGAGAGGCTCAGCAGATTCCTCTGGTCCCTGCCGGCGTGCACCAGGTTGCATCGGCACGAGAGCGTCCTCAAGGCCAAAGCGATCGTCGCCTTTCATCGGGGCCAGTTTAAGGAGCTCTATAGGATTCTGGAGAGTCACACCTTCAGCCCGAGCAATCATGCGAAGCTGCAGGCCCTCTGGCTCAAGGCCCACTACATCGAGGCTGAGAGGCTGCGTGGCAGGCCCCTCGGCGCAGTTGGTTAGTAAGAATCTTTTCACGATCTTTATTTATTTTTCATAATGCTCGTACGAAGAGTTGGATTAGTCCAAATTATTCAAATTTCCGAACGCAATATTCAGACTTATTGTTAGTGACGCACGATAATGCAAATCGCCTTTAATATTTATTTAATTGTTAATTAATAATATAGTAATTTTTTCATAATATATATTATTAATATTATATAATAATAATTTATTCGATCGATTAAATCATCTTTTATTTTTGGCAATAATTGTTAGACTTTTGTGATGGAAAAATGTTTTCGTAAATTTTGAGAAGAAAACTTGCATCTTCTGTGATCGATCTTGGGTATAATCAAAAGTTAGTCTGATAATATAATAAGAGACGTAAATTAAACACAGTTTTCTAAAAATAGATTAATTATGTAATATCAGATGGATTAAATAATTCTTGAAAACTCGAGCAATGTTACCTCGATTGATTAAATGAGAGAAAATTCAAAATAATATATTATTTCAAAATATATTTTATCTATACGGTTAAACTATAAAGTTTTTAAATAAAGTTTCTACAGAACACGAATTTATATATTGTATTTATAATATATAATTTTAGGAATAGCGAAACCACTAAATATATTATCTTTCTCTTGTATTATCGCACGAAATCATATAAGAGATAGAATATATATATATATATATATATAAAATAGGGAAAGAGAGAGAGTAATATATACGCGAATGATAATGTACTCTACTGAAACATTAACATAATTACGGAACTTCCTGCGTGATAATGGAATTTCTCCATAATTTTATGCAGTCCGCGGTTCAATAATTCATTTCACATGATAGTTGTTGAACGTCATCTCTACTATTTGAAATATATATATATATATATATATGTATTTAATAGATAATAGATAACGAAATATATATATATATATATATATATATATATATTTGAATGAATATATATATATATATATATATATATATCCAATTTCCGACATGGAATATTATTTCGCAGATTAAACTTAAACAATATCGGCGAGCGGCGTTTAAATCTCGCGTTGCGTGCTCGCCACGTTTATTTTCGCGCTAATGTTTATTGCACGCGGCGATTAATAACGCGCGCGCGGTGAACGCCGTACACACGATTTCAACATTAACGGACGGCCGAACGGAGTAAGTTATTACCGAGTGCAATTCGAGCTAATGAGCGGTATAGACTTGGCCCTATTTTACCTCGCTCGATCTTATTTGCGAGCGGAGGCGCGTGAAGGCGACGACGCCAACCCGTTGCGCGCTCTCGGCCCAGAAACCAAATCCGTCTCTCCCGAGGAAAAAAGAGAAGCTGAAGAACAAAGCGTGCTGCGCGCATGCTAAAGGAATCGAGAAGCACGTCGTGTCGTCGCTTCCTCTTCCGTTCGCGTTCCCTAAAATCGCGATCCATCTCATTCATCGAGATGGAAAAAATTATTGTCAAATATATCGGAAATATTTATTTTTTTTTCTCTAATTAAATCAATGGCTTTCGAGAGATTTATGAATTTTTTTTTTTTTTTTTTTTTTTCTTTTGCAGGAAAGTATCGAGTGCGCCGCAAGTTTCCGCTACCGCGCACTATCTGGGACGGCGAGGAAACGTCTTATTGCTTCAAGGAAAAGTCCAGGAGCGTTCTGAGGGATTGGTACGCCACCAATCCGTATCCGTCGCCGCGTGAAAAGCGAGAATTGGCGGAGAGCACTGGCCTCACCACCACGCAAGTCAGCAACTGGTTCAAAAACCGGAGGCAGAGAGACCGCGCCGCCGAGCATAGGTGAGTCTTTGAGCTTTCAATTTCTAGGTAATTAAATCGTCGGCGGAGCGATGCTATGCTTTGCGAAAAAAAAAAATGAGAAATATTTTTTATACCGAAAAAAATTCTCTATAGGAGAAAGCCACGTCGTACATAACATGGAAATATAATTAGCTAAAAATAATAATATATAGGATTTAACTCTTATTAAAGAAGAAAAGAATTAAGAAATCTTGTGACGTTATTAAAGATCGAGTCTTTTTTCCGTCGCGCATGTCCGTGTTTTTCAATTATAAAATTCTATTATATTAAAAGTTGTTATATTGTTAAATTATGTTATTAAATAAATCAAATAGAAAATTAAATCATGCGCAGGCAGCGATGATTCTCAAAGTTAATGACAGCTGATCTGTAATCGGCTCGAAAATTTGTTGATACAAAAATAAAATTAAAATCAATCCGACGTTGAATGGTTTCATACTTAAACAACATCTTTAAGTAAGTGATCCAACTTGGGGTGTCGGGGTAATTGTATAATTGACGTACGTTAGCGCGTGGAATTTTCGTCGCTCCGCGCGAGATTGGAGTCCGCGGGGTAGGAGAGTTTAGTCCTCGTGTTGTTTGGAAGGTCGTTGCTCTACATCCGATTTTAGAAACGAGCGGAGACCCCATAACTATATACGTAACGTGATGCCTTCCGCCGCGTAGCATCGTGTCGCATGCATGCTCGACCGTCCTTTCCTTCTCTCTTCTCCCACGAGCGATTGATAAATAAATAACTACCAGTTCTGGCCATCTGGCCAGGCAGAACCGCCAATCTCGCGCGAATTCTTTCGCGTGACTTTGAATCGTGAAACGATCATAGTCGTAGAAATAACGTTCGTTGAGATATTTTGAAGCATGCATTTTTTATGGCTATATTGACAGAGAATGATTTTTATTGTAATTTAATTTATGAATGCAAAATTTGCTTGGTTCTTTCCAACGCTTTCACTGCTTCGCAAATTAATGGATCCATTGTAAAGTAAAAGGGAAATTATAATTTTTAATTAATCTGTGAATCGTGAAACGATCATAGTCGTAGAAATAACGTTCGTTGAGATATTTTGAAGCATGCATTTTTTATGGCTATATTGACAGAGAATGATTTTTATTGTAATTTAATTTATGAATGCAAAATTTGCTTGGTTCTTTCCAACGCTTTTACTGCTTCGCAAATTAATGGATCCATTGTAAAGTAAAAGGGAAATTATAATTTTCTAATTAATCTGTGAATCGTGAAACGATCATAGTCGTAGAAATAACGTTCGTTGAGATATTTTGAAGCATGCATTTTTTATGGCTATATTGACAGAGAATGATTTTTATTGTAATTTAATTTATGAATGCAAAATTTGCTTGGTTCTTTCCAACGCTTTCACTGCTTCGCAAATTAATGGATCCATTGTAAAGTAAAAGGGAAATTATAATTTCTAATTAATCTATGAATCGTAAAACGATCATAATCGTAGAAATAACGTTCGTTGAGATATTTTGAAGCATGCATTTTTTATGGCTATATTGATAGAGAATGATTTTTATTGTAATTTAATTTATGAATGCAAAATTTGCTTGGTTCTTTCCAACGCTTTCACTGCTTCGCAAATTAATGGATCCATTGTAAAGTAAAAGGGAAATTATAATTTTTTAATTAATCTAGTTGAGACAAAGAAATTTGATATTAATAATAGATAATGTAACATCAGAGTTATATCTAATTTTTTTAAACATTGATCTAAAGTGATCCGTTAGAATAATGCGAAGGAGATCAACGATCGAGTAATTGAATGAATATTATACTTGTGTGATTTTAGGGGGTGATACGAAAGTGTGGGTGTTTTGTAGAATATCCTGTAATTAATATACACAATGAATGATAGAGCGTATATCCAATCCAAAGCAATTTGAGATATAATATCCATCACCATGAATTCATCTATAAGATATTCCTAAATTTTTCGGTACAAATTTTACCTGCAATGGAATTAATAAATAACGTTTCACGCCTTGACGAATAATCAGATAAATTTGCGGAAAGTAATATCTTGCATAAATAAGAATTTTGTACCAAAGTAATTTAACAGTAAATAATGCATAATCTTTATGAGTATCACGAATTAAAAGAAGAAAGGGATTAAATTGAAGAAACCTTGCAAGTGACGTGATTAAAGATCGAATCCTTTCTGTCACACATGTCCGTGTTTTTTAATTATAAAATTCTATTATATATTAAATTAATTAGTTGATTGTTAAATTATTTTATTAAATAAATGAATTAGCAGCTGATACAATCGGGGCTGCAGTTGACATAAAAAATAAAATGAAAATCAATCGGATAGAACCTCGTTCAGTCGAAATGTCGATCATGAAAAACAAATGTTACGTTTAATTTGACAATAATATTAAAAATGGAATTTTAATTTTCTTAGAGATTTATATTTTTTATTTCGAGTATATTTTATATACAGGGTGTCCCATAGGAAATTGCCGAAACTAATCAGCTGTCATTTTTTAATGCATGCTGTTATTGAGAAAACAAAAATTGTGTTGGACAGAGGAAAGTCTACAGTTTTTTAATGGATATAAATAAAATATTTGTATAATAGTTTCTTTTATTGATAAAAAGTAATGAAAAAAGTGCTAATAATTACATAAAATTAACATAAACTAATGATAAATATTTTCAATAATGCCAGATTTAAAGTTATTAAAAGGATCATCAGAAACATTAAAAATGACATGTTAGAAAAAGAGTTTTTACCAAGGATCCTGATTGCGTCACCGCGTTTTGATCTCGGGGATACGTTAATTCGCAAACACCTCTGCATCTCTGACCTCCTGCCTCTGTCCATGGGAATACACAGAAGCCATAAGAAATTCAATACGTTCCCCGTGGCATGACGTGTGCCCTGTCACGGTGGTGCTTCCCACTTCCTCCCTCGCGAGAAGACGTAACCACGATTCGTACGGATCTATGTATCCTTCGATGAAGACACTCCTTGCTGGCTGACACTTTTGTTAACACACGGCCAGCGGAAAGATTGAAGAGCGTATTGTTTACATGGGTAAATTTTATTTTAAAATATACATATATCGATTCATTAATATAGAATTCTGCACTTCAACTACTGATTGTTCAATTGCTCGGGAAATTTTCTTAGAGATTTATATTTTTTATTTCATGTATATTTTATATACAGGGTGTCCCATAGGAAATTGCTGAAACTAATCAGCTGTCATTTTTTAATGCATGCTGATATTGAGAAAACAAAAATTGTGTTGGACAGAGGAAAGTCTACAGTTTTTTAATGGATATAAATAAAATATTTGTATAATAGTTTATTTTATTGATAAAAAGTAATGAAAAAAGTGCTAATAATTACATAAAATCAACATAAACTAATGATAAATATTTTCAATAATGCCAGATTTAAAATTATTAAAAGGATCATCAGAAACATTAAAAATGACATGTTAGAAAAAGTTTTTACGAGTTTTCGTAAAAGAACAGAATTTTTTACCAATTCAAATGGTACGCACTTCGAAAATATTTCTCATTAGTTTACATATGTAATTATTAGCACTTTTTCATTACTTTTTTCAATAAAATAAACTGATATACAAACATTTTATTTATATCCATTAAAAACTGCAGATTTTCCTCTGTCCAACACAATTTTTGTTTTCTCAATAACTGCATGCATTAAAAAATGACAGCCGATTAGATTCAGCAATTTCCTATGGGACACCCTGTATATAGGAATAAGATTGAAAGTCTTTCCAAACAATTCCACAGAATATACTAGATTAATATTCTAATTGCTGTTATTTTATTATGAATAAATCCGGTGAAGACCTCTCACGAAGAGTTTCAATCATTCTGACATTAATCATATATAGATTCGCTAATAAACGAGTCTGAAAATTCCAAGAATTCATCTAAAAGATTTGAGAGAGTGAAACCTTGTCTCTGTTTATAATATAATATAATAAAAAATCTTCACAATTAATTGTTGATCGCCAGTGATAAAATTTTCACAAATAATAAGATGCAATTTAATTCGACCAAAAATTGACTATTCATTTATTGAGTACTTATTTAGTGTGTACTTATTTTCAATAAATGAAATGCCAGTTTTTGGTCGAATTAAATTGCATCTTATTATTTGTGATAAAATATAATAACATTTGTAAGGAAGAAAAATAATACGCGACCGCCTCCTCGGGTTAAAAGGCTGTAATTATTTGCCTGTTTAACGCACGCACGCTGTCGGAAATTAAGTCGATCTCGCACATACAAGGGCGGTGTTTCCTCCCTCGGGACAGGGGCGTCTCGTGGGCGTCTGCAGCAGGCAAAAAACGTCAAATACGGGACCGTAGTCCTCCCCCAGGGAGCTGTTATCGAACGATTTAACTACCTCATTTGGACGCGATATAACGCGCACGCTCGACGAAACACAGACTATAAAAAAAAGGCGAAAAAGATAATGAATTAACCATGTAGAATTTGGGAGGAACAGTGTTTCCCGTATATTTCAAGCGACAGAGGATAGATTAAAAGAAATAAATATTGTAGGCCAACTAAACGAGCAAAATTACATAAGATATGAAGATTGATTAATAATTAAATTCTCAATGGTCGATTGAATTATTATCATTTTTTAATTAAATTCTCATTCCATTAGAGAAACAATATACAAAGTAAAAGTTTCGACTGCACTACAGTCTTCTTCAATACATAAAACTCAAATATTAAAATACAAAGTTAACGATTCTTCGCTGATGAATAATGAATGAGTAAGACGATTGGTCTGAGATTCCAAGTTTTGAGACATTTAATCATGATTATCGTTTTAACAAATTCTTCTTCTCGAAATTTCAAGTGTGTCTTGCGAAGTCTAAATAACAAAATTTTGTTAGTTGGCCTACAATATTTATTTCTTTTAATTTCGTTAATTTATACGAGCCTTTCATCAATTAAG